GACCGGAGAGGTGCTGATTTGCAAGGAAAGGAGGAGGAAATTTAAGAAGGGTTTAGTTACGAATGTGGAAAGGAGGATCGAGATAAATGAGGGGGACCCCACCCACTTGGGGAAGGGAAAATTATGGAGGAATCAGGGTAAATGGAGGATTTTTGATGGCGAGAAAGCTGAAGATGCACATCTTTAAGGGGGAGGATGCACACGGGTGGATTTACAAGGTAGAGAGATTTTTCACCTTCAATTGGTTGATGGAGGAGGAGAGATTGACGGCAACTGATCTTTGTTTGGAAGGGAAGGCATTGACTTGGCACCAATGTAGAGACATGAGGCAGCCCATACGGAGTTGGAGGGAGTTTGAAGAGTGTTTATTGGAACTTTTCCAAACTAGCAGGAGAGGGGGCTTCTATGAGCAATTCTTTGTCTTGATACAGGAAAGCTCAGCGGTAGAATACTGCGAGAGATTTGAGTACCTAATGAGTCGACTGGATGGGTTGCTGAGACTGTTCTAGAGGAAAATTTCATGAAGGGGCTTAAGATAGAAATCCGCGCAGCAGTTAGAGTAATGAGGCCTCGTGACTTGGGAGAGGCTATGGAGCTAGCTTAGTTGGTGGAGGATCAGAAGTGCCAGGAGAGGGGAGGCAGAGGCGTCAGTTTAGGTGGCTCGTATAGGATGACCACTACCTTCTTAGCACCCAAAGGGCCAACATCGAGCAACCTTCGTAAGACCCCAAGGGTTAAGCCTGTAGGAGGGGGAAGTTGGGGAAAATTCAAAAAGCTTATTGAGAGAGAGCTGCAGGAAAAAGGGGGCGAATGGATTATGCTTCAGATGTGATGAGAAGTATACTCCGGCACACAGGTGCAGGTACCGAGCTTTTCAGGTTCTCACCGTGATGATGAGGAAACTGAGGGAGGTGGGAGTAAGGCATGGGTAGAAGAGGAGGACAACTTGCATCTAGGCATGATAGGGGGTTCAGGTGAGGGAGGATTTTCTCCCATTGGAGTTATGAAGCATTGATGTCATTATGAGAATGAAGTGGCAGACCTTGGAAAATACCAAGGTTAACTGGGGAGCAAAATGGTCCCCAATTATGTTGAGGGACTCTTTTGGTCCCTCAACTCTAAAAAAAAATCAATAGTCCCACCATCCAAACTATTTGATACTAAAATTAATAGTGTTAAAATTCTGTGTATTTTTTGAATTGACCTTTAGAATTAATTGGCCTTTTATGAGTTTGATGTGAAACAAGTATGAATAATATTTGAAAATAATGCATGCTCTTAAGTAATGAATGTAACAGTAAGGTTCACAATAAATATAAACCTATTTATTAAAGATTTAATTTAGAAACATTAAAATCAACTTTAAGTAATCAAGCTTTATTTAAGGTTAATTTGCGATAACAAAACAAGCTGAACAACACTTCTCGAATATATGAACTTAAAAAAATACCTCCCATTGGTTGCTGCTCGATCAAGTTTAGCTAATCGCGTGGGTGCCCGACCGAACGCGATGATTGGGCGAGTGGGGGTTTGGTGTTGCAATGGTTTTTCCCTGTTGAAGGACGTCGACTCCATGGATGGGTCTCCTTACTGTTGCTAGGTTCAACTTTGCTAGAGATTGATTGTTAGGGGATCTTTGGATGAAGGATTTAACAAGATTTATGACGATTACAAAATTTGGCAGAAAAAACATGCGAAAGGGAGAAATATAGGTACCTTTACAACGAGTGAGCACCTGTGGTTGCCTCTGATTAAAATTTCGCGACTTCCGATCCGACAGGAAGGGAACTTCGTTGAAGGAGCAAAGTCGAATAGCAAAAAATAGTAGAAGCGAAGAACATCTGACTATGGGGTTCGTTGTTGCTGGAGTTCGACGCTAGGCATCCATTAGAGTTCGTCGTTTCCAAAGGAGGCGAAGATCGGCTGGCTGCTGGGGTTCGACTTTATCGGCAGTTTAGCGCTGTGATTCTATGCTCGCCTTCTTTGATTCAGTCTGGGGTTTCGACGCTGCAAGGGGTTTAGACGCTGGAAGGAGTTTCACAATAGGTAAAGTTCTTCCAATTTTAATTTCGGCTCTTGGAATTTATTGTTGGTTTGATGACGAATTTATAGTATTCTTTTTATACCATTTTGTACTCGATATCTTCGTTACGTTTTTGTTTTTAACCATAATAAAAGTAACAGTGGGACTATTTTGATTTTTTTAAAAAGTTGAGGGAAATGGTTTCTTAACATAGTATGAGACAATTTTGGTCCTATTTAAAGAGTTAGGGGATTTGGTCATTTTCTTGTTCCTTATATTTAGTCTCAATGTTCCATTTAAATGCTCCATAAGGGCCGATATGATGTTCTCGGCTTGAAATATACCTCTATTTCTCTCTTTACCGAAGTAAATAAATGTGGCAAAGAGTTAGATTTGGATTGTAATTGTGTATACCTTTAAGTCGGATCTTTCCTCATGTTTGGATTGACCGTTGCTAAATTCTTTGTATGTAGATGAATAAATTTCTTTGCATGTAATCTTTCATCTCATTTTGTTAACTTTTATCATTTATCGCTCTTATTGATTGATGGTTTAACATCACTAGGATAAATTTCTTTGTCTGTGAATCACCTCATAACTTTTTAATAAATGCCATAATTGTTTTTGATCTATTAGAAATGACCTTTCTTTATAAAATTTAAATGAGAATTCGACTTTTAACGTGACACAATGTAGAAAATGGATTCATATAGCCGACTCTACGTAGTGGGATAAAGGTTTGATGCTGTTGTTGTAGTAGTATCAATCATTTGAGCAATTATTTAATTTAAGAAACATATATTCTTCATGAATTTGATAGATGATTATATCCATCATAGAAAGAATATGAACTAAGTTTTAAACAAATTTTATCCATTTAAAAGCAATTTTTTAATTTTTATTAAAATCATCTTATAACTAAATGTTGTTACTCATTAAATATAAGATTTTTTGAAAATATAATTAAACATTTTTCAAAACATTTCGCATTTACTAATTAAACCATTTTCAATAACTTGAATGATTTATATATAAACTGAAGGGCTGTTGGTTTAGTGAAAAAGAAATACAAAGGAAATGAAATACAATGTAAAATAAATTAGTACATTCTAAATATTTTTGGATAGATTGATTGTTTGAAAAGTAAATGTAGTGGAGTTATTTTTCAAATGTGATTGGGTGTATATATATTAAATTAAAAAAAATAGTGTATTCTAAATGCTTAGGGTTTGTTTAATTTGGTGTATGCAGAGTAATGTAAAAACACTGCAATCAGATACATAGTTAAATTAGTAATGATAGGATAAACACAAAATTACCATTGTCATTTCATATTTCTAAAATGCTTTTGAAGACCACTGTTTAAAATATAAAACTTTTAAGTCATTACAACACAAGTGGATTAATCTGTCAGTAAGTTTCATTATATAAGAACATTTATTGAACTCCTTTCATATCCATCTTTTTTTTTTGCTTCCACAGGTTTTGAGAAGAGGAAATGAATAATTATTAGGTTTTTGGATAAGTTGTCATATATAGTACTAATCACTTTCTCAAAAAAGTCAGGAGTACGTGATAGCTCTATCATGAGTTTCGGTGAATATTTTTTTTTGAAGCCATTGTTATGCATTGAATTACATTAGCAACTACGTTATCAACCATCTTAACAATATAATTACGATGAGATCGCTCAACACCACGCTTCTTATTCTTTGTACATTATCAACCATTTTAACCATATAATTATCATGTGTTTCTGTGAATATTATTTTTGAAGCCCTTGTTATTCTTTGAATTACATTAGCAACTTGAGTTACATTATCAACCATCTTAACAATACAATTACCACGAAATCTCTCAACACTATTCTTCTTATTCTTTGTACGTTTGGCACATCCCTTGGAAGATGATGGTTTGATTGCTTTGTCATTCCTGTAGAGTCTTCTGTAAGATCCACTTCAGCCCAATGAGTTAGTTGGGACGCATCTATGCCAGTCTCTCCAAAACTTGAGGGTTTCTTATCCTCTAAGTTGTTTTATTGAGTACCAAATGGAGTTTGAGAATTTCAGACTTAGCCCGATCACCAATTACATGTCCTTCACCACAAACTTTCTCTAACTTTATACTTTGTTGGTTGACATTAGGCAGCAAAAATAATTTTGCCATTTTATTACCTAATGGAGTTGATCAGGCTGGTATGGGCATGTGCCATCCAATTCCCCTACATAGATCAGTCCCAGCCCTTGCCACCATTACAACTACCAACACCTTCATGTATCTCATTAAACCATTTCATGAGCTAATCTATATTATGAATTTCCAATCAATAATTGATTATTCAATATCCCTTATAGCATCCTTCTTTGAAATTTGTGCCATATGCCTAATTTAATGAACTTCTTATTATAGTCCTATTTTGATTGCCATTGCCACTGCTTCTACTGTCAACATCTAAACCGTAGTCAATCTGTTAACATCTAAACCGTACTCAATACTTAGTATTTATTTATTTTTTCAAATTAATAAATATTTTAAAATTATTTTTTCTCCTCATTTGCAATTAGGGACTTGTGAGTTTCTTTAATAAACTATTATGTTTTATTCCATTGATTTGAGAAAGATTACTGTTACTTTCACTTGTTTATTTCTTCTTAATTTATTAATTGTTCAAGTTTTTATATTTATTACTGTTACTGTCACTTGTCTTATGTTTAAGTGATATGTTTTGGGTTCTTACTGGCATACTTGATTTTAGTGCCAAAATTCTTACGTCTAATTGTTTTTTGTTTTCAGTTGAGTCAAGGTCATGTCCCTTAATTCTTGATTCTGGACTATGTACCACATTTAAAATTTTATTGGATAAGCTTTTCATATATTATTTTTGCTTATTTATTTCATGTTCTAGCCAACCCCACGTAGTGGGATAAAGACTTGATGTTGTTGTTATTGTTGTTGTATTTATTTCATGTCCTTTTAGGAGGCTGAATTACTAGAGGCCAGACAATTAAAATCTTTTCGTATGAATAAAGAACTATTGATAGAGCAGCTATTGGAGGAAAAAGGTCACAGGCAGAAGGCAGAAATGGAGCTTAATCAATTACAGGAAATTCAAGTACATGCTCATATGCTAGAATCTGAATTAGCATCTTGGAAATCATTGCTGAATCAGATACCTGATGTGTCATGCCATGATGACATACCCAGAAAATTTGCTCTGCTGCAGAAGTATGTTGTGCACTTCTATTATTTACTTATTCCTCTTTTTTTTTAAATTTATGACATCACTTACTCTTTTGCTACCTTTTTCCCTATAGAGCATAGCTTGATGTTTAACTATTATTCTTTACGGTGAGAATGTTGTTCTAATTACGTGCCATGCATCTTATTTGTCAATTTTTTCTTTGTATGTTTTCAGAGAAACAATTGAAAGTATGCTTAAAGTTGGTGAGACTAATGCACGTTTGAAGGAGCTTCAAGTAACCTTGGAAATGGCAAATCTTAATAAAGAACATGCTGAAAAAGAATGCAAACTAGAAAAAGAGAAGGCCGAATGTGCGTCTTTAGAGGTTAAGAAGCTTGAGTTGATGGTGAGTAGTGACACGTATCCTATTTATACACTCTTTCCTGATACTTGTGACTTGACATGTTGAAGTTCACCTTTTTGCAAGATTCTCCTTATTTGTTTTAATTTATATGATGTAATTTTTTAAAAGAAAAATCTGTTTAATTCATCTAATTCTGAAAGACTTATCTCGCACAGGCATTGTTATATTGATAAGACCATTTAAATGTTGAGTAGAATGTGGGGCAGTGAGTAAAACCTAATCTATTCTCCATGTAACGCACTGTTTATCTGATTTTCTTCCTTGCCCAACTGGAAATTGAGGCTTGGATTATGGCCTATTGTATAGTTTATGGTTGAGTGATTGCTCTTGAGAAATCTTGAAGAGAGAAAAACACTACTTTAAACAGTAAAATACGTTAATTATGAAGAGATTAATTTGAATTAGGCTTGTATCTATACTGTGCCCTTGGGTGACATTATGGGGTTATTTGACCACATAGTAGGCATTCAAGAGATGCTAAGGAAATAGTTCATTATCCTCACGAGTTATTTAGTCAAGCAATAAGAAGGGAAGTACATGGAAAGAAACCCAACTAGTCTTAAAGGACCACTTTTTACATTGTTCTCTATTGGCTTCTCTAAGGTTCATTGTGCACATTTTGCACCAAAGTTCGAGACTATACACTTAGTTCTAGGCCAAAGCCAATCACTACATTGATACGGCTTGGGATTGCTCGTTGTCATTGCCTTCCTTAATGTTAAAGTGTTAGCTTTGTAGCTTTTAGTCTTTTACAGTGTCACACCCCTTTATTTCACAAATTTTAACCTTTATTTAAAAAATATAATCATGTTATCTTAATGAAGCCCAATAAAATATCATACTTGAACCATCATTCAAAAGTGGAAGCTGCCCGAATTTTTTTATTTCTAAAAACATTCTTCTACAGAGCAACATAGGGAAGCCCAAAATATGTAAATATGAATATATTACTTACCTCATATCAGACCCCTCTCACATTAATAAAGATAAATATGAAATAAAAATTGAATCTGCCACTATTTTGGCTCGACATTTTTTTTTTCTTTTCCTGGATGTTCTGGTGAGCTATAACTCTCATAAAGATATGCAACTCTAATATCAAAATTAAGTGCAATAATTCACTAATGAGTATGAACATCAATAGGTAAATCAAATGAGCATAAAAAAATATGTATAAGCTACCAAAGTTACAGTAAAAGTAATATAGAATAATATACTGGGTATGATTCTTACCATGTAACATGTAAGGATGATGCTTGCCTGAATTACCCATTCAATTATATGTTGTATAACATTAATAGTATCATTTTATGCTAGTTGTAGTACTAGGTAATGCATACCATTAAAACATTTAGTCACAGCTATCAATTTCTATTTATTTGATAACTTTCTTTTTCAACCCCAGAAAATGTCATATCGAGATTTAGGTTTTTCAGCTCGTAGGCTCTCAACTCTCAAGGTCACATTGCCTCTGCCTCTAGAGCCCTTAGGCTCTACCAACTATAGGTCTCATAGCCACAAGCTCCATGGTATTATGGTCACATTGCCTCTACTGGGTCGCATTGCCCCACCTACCTGTTTTCTAACATGATATTTTCTTAAACTTATTTAATCATGGCTATTTCTTCTCTTTTGAAAACAATCTTATATATATTACTTATGTGTTTGTCTACATTTATACGTGTACATAGATAAACATTACTGAAATTTGTATCAATGTATTAGTATATAATAAGCATAACTGTATGATTCATATTTCATATTTTACCCTATTGCACGTGATAACGTATGTCAAATACTCACAAATCACAAGGGAGTACGTGTACAATGGCTGTATGAACCACAGTTTAGACTAATAATTATGATCATATAAGAGTCCAAGAGTAAATATCACGAATACACTACTTTGCTACATGTTGGAGAATATTTAATTTAATTAAATTGGAGTCTAATTTGAGTCGATTTTGTCTCGACGTCGATCGATCGAGTCGATCGAGCGCGATCGAGCCTAGTCGGGCTCGATCGGGGTTGAGTCGGTGCGAAAATATTCGTCAACACTACATAATTAAAGATGCATATCTTACTTTCTTGGCACACTGACTCACCAAATTGGGCAACTTGCATCTGTCTACGCTTATAGGGTACCTTCCAATTTTCCCTTCTCACGCACAATTAGTTTACAATCCCCCGTTGCACAAGGAACGTCCAATCAATAACTGAACATGATTAAAATTGATATGTTAATTATACCATTCCTACAAATTTTTCCTACAAAAACATAATAACTTCTTATATTTTTTTTCCTTTGCTCCTTTTCTCCTCTTTTCTTCTATTTCTTCTTTTCTTCTTCTTCTTCCCTTAATTTTACTGACCTGTCACATGTTCCTACCCCCAATTCCTATCAACCCTAACCTTTTCCATTACCTAAAAATGCAACAACTCACACCCCCTAACTTCCTTGCCACTAACTCAAATCAAGAAACCAGCCACCCAACAGCACAAACCTTCCTTTAGATAGCTCCCAAAACCAAAACAATTTAGCACTTACCACCCAACTACAGCAGGAATCCGACTACCTCAGCTGAGCACCCTTTGGCCTCCTGTGGGCTCCGACAATTTCCCCCCTTAACAGCTCCTCAGCTTGAGCCCAAAAACGTCCCAATTCCAGCTCCTCTTGATTTCCTCCCGCGTCACATACCTTTCTCAGCTCTCACCTGCCCCCACCTCTCGGTTTGCTCCATCATGCACAAAATTGAGAATGGCAAAGACCCTTTTTCTAATTCTGTTGGGAAGGAAATACACTAAGTATAACTAAGGCAAGTTAAATTCCTTAAATATCCTCTTCCAAAACAATGCATGCAAGCCAACTGTTAGTCCTTTATTACCCTTGATACAATAATTGTCATATTTAAACATTAATCAATTTTTTAATTTTTTTTTTAACTTAGGAAAAAAATGCAATCTAGATTTAATTCTCTAACTCTCAAATCCTTCACATTTAGGCATATAATGCTATGTCAAATTGCTCCATTTGACTAGTAGAACACAATGACATAAAATTATTTAGATTTTGTAAATGTTAAGATTTTTGGGTATCTTAAATTGAGTCAAATGTGACACATAGCTGCTCACATATGGGTTTTACACCCAGTGTGCCCGAAGTTCTAAGGTTAGAGTGGTTTGGTGTGATGGGGATTGATAGAGAGAATTAAATTAGGGTTTTTAGCAAGGAAGCCTTGGCAAATGTATGGCGATATACGATTTGGATTAATGGTGCGATATACGATTTGGAAATTGTGTGCTTGTTTTTAAAAAAAAAGTGTTAAGGGGTTTAATATGGCTAATCATTAACCAGTATTGGAGTCCAATGGTTGATGCTTCTCTCGTTGATTCGCAAAGCTACACGTAGGTGGGCCCACCAACATCACATGCACAAATCTCAATCCATTACATCCTATGTCATATGATTGACCGACTACCATCTCAGGCGCCACTCATTAGCAATGATTAATTATTGAGAATATCTTAGTTGTTGAATCCAAAATGAAGGGTTGTTGCCAACTCATCCTATATGCGCATAAAATTGGAAAAATAAAGGAAAAAAAATGAAGTAAGAGTTTTAAAAAAATAAAATTATATTTGAAAATATAAATCCAAAATTATAAAAAAATTGCAAAACAAAGAAAATTCAAATATGAATTCCTTCTAAATTCATATAGTTTTAGCAAAAAAATAAATAAATCATTAAAATTTCTTTTGTTCTCGAATATAAAATAAGCAATGGATTTTCACCTAAAATAAAAAATATATCTCTTAAAAATAATCTAGCGCTCCAAATAATGAGTGGAAATTGGTGTTATGGTACTTTAGTGAAAATCTACTTTGTGGGACCCTTATTGTCTATTAATTAGACTCATTTATGTTGAGGTTTATACGGCATATATATTTGACATGTTGAAAACTTATTTTAGGCTAACTTTTTATACACTCAAATTAAAGCTTTAAAATGTCCATAAATCCTAAAATTAGGAGTCTTTTAAGGTCAATGAACTCAACAAATCATCACAATGTCCTTGAACTTCAAATATTCATTAAAAATTCAGTAGACCTTGTAAAACTCCAGAATTTGAGCCTTTGAGGGATGCTCATGACATGACAAGGGGCATAAGTAGGGGTGTCAAAATGGGTTTTCGGATTAGGTTCGGGTTCAACGCCAAATTGACATGTCTTTAACACCCCTGACCCGATTTGCAAAATGGGTTAGATTCATGGTCTCGAAGTCGATCCGAGTATAATTTGACTGACTTGTCGACCCATAAGGCAACGACTGTGAGGCACGAGCAGGTGGGCAGGCGAGAGCAGGTGACGAGGTGTCTAGGCGAGCCTGCGGGCGAGTGGGCTAAAGCGTGCAGGGGACCGCCGGTGTGGGAGTAGGCGTCGGTGCAAGCACAGGGGTGGGAGGGGGTGTGGGCGTGAGTGCAGGGCTGGCGCGGAGCTCTACGGTCAAGGGGATGATCCATATCAATTTCGGGTTGATATCATGTTTTCCAGTTGGCCCGAACCCGACCCATTAGCAAAACGGGTTGACCCAAATCCAGAATTTTTTGGGTTGGATTCAAGTCGGGGTTTGGGTCGGGTCAAATATTGACACCCCTAGGCATAAGATTATAATTTTCCCTAGTGAAGCTTATAGAAAGGCAAGTCATCATCTAAACTCTTGAACAAGTTTATTTTTAAATAAATTCAATATATTTCTAAAAATTATGAATTTAAAGCCCTAGTTTGCTTCTTTACATGCTAAGTGACTTAGTTATTAAGAGTTGGTTATCTACGCAATTTTCTTTTTTCAAGTAGGGTTGTCTATTTTGGAAAATGTGATGGTTATTTTGTATTTTTTTGGTTATAAGGCATTTAAAGGTGTTTCCTCTTATAATTTACTCATTCATCGAATAAGAAATCGGACGTGCTAATTTTTCTTGGGAGAATTCTCTTGTTCTTGGCGCTGCTGAGTGAAAATGGTTTGTGGAGTTTTAGATTGTGCCACAATTGACTGACCTGATCTCAACTTATCTCAGACAAATAGGCTAGTTGGGGAATAGTTGCAAGGATATTTGGATTGTAATGTCACGTTGAGAGCGCTGGAGGGTTCTTAGCCTGTTGGATTTCAAGTGCTGGTCAATTTTTTATCCGCCATAGTGATTGTGATGCAAGAAATAAACTTCACATGATCCAATTGCAGTACAAATCTAATTTCTTGATTTTCTGTTGGTTCTCTTTTTGATTCATCTGCTCTCTTCATTTCTTTTAGTGTCAATTTATATCATAGCATAGAAAGTATGCTACCAGGGAGGAAGTGCAGATGGTAGAATTTGATGAATTTTTGACTACATTGCCCATTACAAAATGACCCCAATTTATAGGAGTTTTAGTATCTTAAACATTTACTTTAATGAATTATTAAAATTCAATAATATTTATTTGAATTCATCATTTGACCTTCTGAAAACTCCATATATTTTTAGAGAACTGAGAGAATAATAAATGAGGCTATAAATGCTGAAGGTTTCTCTTAAAATTCTCCATATTGACTGATAAGGAACCCTTAAACTTATTGAAACCTATTTATAACTTCTATGGAGCTGTCTTGATAGTTTTGGTTCTTCAATTAATGATTGAAAAATGAATGAAAAATTTGGTCTTCTTTTTGTTTGACCTTTGGAGCATTATTGTTTGACAGTTAATGAAGTCAATTGAATGGTTTGAATGTTATGGTCTAAGTACAATTGGGAGTGAGGAATCATTATTTATTGGAGTGACACTTATAATTATAGAGATGGATGATTATTGTTGAAGTTTGGGCACATAAAATGTTATCGTACTAATATCCGTCTATAATTGATTGAAATGAAGCAGCAATTGAGGCGAGCTTAAATAGTTGGGATACTACTAAATGTAAGAAAGTGGCATGTCTTCTTCTAATATAATCTTTAAACTTGTTAGATGCAATGTTCAGTTCAAAGATATATTTCTTGAAAATGTCAAGCTTAATACTCGGGGTTATTATTTAATGAAACATTGCCATAAAACAGGGCATAGTTGTCCATATGTATAAGCTTAATTCTGTTTATAATGTGTAATTATTGGTTTTCCAGCTTTCATCTGTTTCTGAAGAATGTGAAAAGCTAAAGAAGGATGTTGTTAGCTTGACTAAGCGTAAGAGTGGACTCTCGAGCAGTTGTCAAACAACTGAAGCAGTTAGTAAGGTTGGGCATTTGTCTTTTTTTTTTAAAAAAAAAATTCTTGATATAATTGCTTACGGTTGCCTCTCTTTGCTTTTTTAATGTGATCACAGGACCTAGAAACATTACTTGAGCAAAAAGAACATTCTATTCGAGGACTGGAGAGTAATTTATGTCAACAGAGGGAAATTATTAATCGTCAACATGCTGAAATCAAATTATTGAATGAGAGTCTCAGTGTTGAAACAAAGAAGGTGAAGTCACTAGAGAGGGAGAATGATCGGTTACGATCTGAGATTTCTTTGCTTGAATCGAAGGTATTTTGCTGATTCATTAGTAGAAAGGTTTATCCCGAGTCTCATTACAGTTATCTTGTTTGTTTTCCTTTATATGTCTAATCCTTTTTTTAAATTTCTTTTTTCTTATGAAGTGCAAAGTGGAAACATTGGACTTCTTAGATTTATAACTCATACTATTATTCTGCATGTGACTTTTTATTGATTACCCACAACAATTTTGAATTATTTGTGTGCCCATCTGCTTTTATTTTGTTATTTTATTTCTTTCTTTCTCCTAAACATTAACGGTCTGAAGTTTCCATGGCTGGGAATCTATTTTCATACTACTATAGAGTCAATAAACTATGCTGTTTACATAATTTTTTTTTTTGGCGCTTGGTAGAGGTGGACCATTGGGCGCTATTTTAAATTCTCTCAAGTTTAATAGATTTCAGTTTGTAATGCCAACCCTGCATTAATGGAGACTGCACCGGGTAAGCCTTTTCTTAAATTTAAGACCGTTTTTTTTGGATAGTTCCCACAATCCTTTTCTATATGTTCAGTGACTATAATCTTTCTTTTTAATGATTAGTGTCAATGTGGTAGCTGTTTATGTGCTTATATATATATGATATTAGCATAGATTCTTTATACTATCAAAGCATTTCAATTAATTATTATTATTTATTTTTATCAGACTTTATTTTACTTATAATTAGCAATACGATCTTTTGTAAGTTGTCTAGCATAAGTTTGGTTATTATGCTTATTTTTTATGCTATATATTATAAATGGAGGTCAAATGGGTCACGTAAATTCATGCTGTGATTATTGAATGAAACAATCCTTGACATGTTTTTTCCCCTTTCTTATCTATGTGCCTGATTCTTCTTGCTCTTCTTGCTTTTCTATTCTACTTCTCTATTTCTTCTTCTCCTCCTCCTCCTCCTTTAATTAGAATTCTATTTCTTAATATTATTCGGCAATCATTGTTAGCAATTAACAAGATAATGATCAATGATTTGATGAAGATCAGTTTCACGTCATCTAATGAATTGTAAATGGGATGTGCTTTAATTGTTTGTTGGCTGAAGCCCTTGGCCACCATAATTGATGCACTTTTTTTCTTAAGATCCTCAGTGGATCATAATTAATTTTCAAATGCTAAAATCCAAGCCAAATCATGCCCTTTGGAGTTCTTTTAGTTCTAAAAAGCATTATTATCACAATTGCTTGCTCAACGTCATTTCTCTCCTATTCGTCCCTTTGCTCAACTAATCCTATTTATCTCTTCTTTTTCTCTCTAACAATTTCATTTAAAAAAATTCTATATAAAGATTTATTTCAAATTTTCTAAATTAAATTCCAAGTGTTTTTTTCAGAATTATTTTTATTCCTAAATTCTAGAAAACCAAGCTACCCAAATTCAAAAGGAAAGAAAAATCCCTTTTTTACTTGTCAGGTCCCCTGCTTTGTCCCTCTCGAATTTCGTACTCCCCTCTAAACTTGAGAAAAATAAGCCTTTTTGAATATTTTCACTGCCAGAATCCTAGTCTCTACTTCTAGAAAAATTAAGAAAAAACCGTCTCTACCTATCCCCTTCATGCTATCTCCCAGAACAATTGATCACCACCGAACAACATCTCTACTACAAATATAAATAGTAGAACCCTAACTCTAACCTAATAAACCCCAACTGTTACAGCCTAAGCTGTAAATTAACCAAGAGGCTTCAAATGAAAGAAGGTTTTTAACTTTACTGTATATCCATATATTGTGTATTAAAATAAGCAATGTTGAAACTAAACATCGAGGGAGAAAATAATATAACTGGCTAACTTCTTGACGATTGTTAGTTGACTATAAATCAACAAATCTAATAAAGGGAAAACCCTTTAAAAAATAAATCAATATGAAAAATATGCCAACAAATATCAATGGAAAATGATATATGAATTCAAAAGAAGAACAGAAAAGAAAGCTCTATCTTTAAGAACAAAATTAATTTTTACGTGGATTTACAATTGATAATCAAAATTTCTAACTATCAAGTAAAATTGAAGCGCATGACATTTAGTTATATAAAAATGTTATGCCATGTGCACTTTAATGTAGACTACAGAAATAATGAACATCTATATCCAAATAACTCATAAAAGAAAGGAACAATCAAACAAAATAGACTTAAAACTTAAAAGCACAAAAAAATTACCAAATTGACATATTAATCATGATAAGATGAAGTAAAATTTTATTTTGATCCTCTTCCCATAGCAATAAATTTTATTGGATCAAGAAAACAAATTAATAGTTAACACTACATGCACATGATTATAATCATTAAAAAATTAATAATATGATAAAATAGAAAATGAATTTTATGATAAAATTATATTTAAAATTATAAAATTATTTCTATTACTTTATTTAAAAATAAAGTTAAAATCAGCTTAACAGGTTTATACACTTCTGTTATTCTTTGTCTTGTAACAAAAAATATACTTTCTTTAATTTTTTTTATATTTAGTTATGCCTAATATCTTATTATTATGATTTAATTTTATTTAAAATTAAATGATGGATCATTATTGACTTGTGAGCTATATATTTTAAAGGTACAATATGTTATGCATTTATAGTCACCCAGATATATATGATAAACTTACAAATATTCTATAATCATCATGAATAAGACAAATATTTTGTTATATCACATGAAGCGAGATATATCTTTTTATAATTGAAGACATACACATGATGCATGCAATAAAATCTAAGAGTTCAAGAAACATCACAATCTCAAAATTGTTTAACAAAGTTATTTATAAAATAACAATAAATATTTGCTATGATTTCATATTAAGTTGTCCCAAACATTTCTTGCAGCTACATTATTTGTTGTAGTTTGCTCATCCCAAAAACTTCATTAAGTTTGAGTGTCAAATATAATCAAATTTCTGATTTTTGGTATATAATTAAACATCTCATATAATTTTGAAAAACAAAATATATAATTTTAAAGAACAAAAATTTCTTGTATCTACATCATTTGATGTAGTTTGCTCATCCCAAAAACCTCATTAAGCTCGAATATCATCATTATATTTCTAATTTGATTGTATATAATTAAATATCTCTTATAATTTTTTAGCACAAAAAATATTCTAAATAAATAATCAATCTAAGTCTATATATTTTTATTACTTTAGCAAGAAGAACTCAAATCAAAGACTTTAGGATACTTGGAAGAAAAAGCTAAATCTAGTAATTGAGGGACTAAATTGGGGCAATGCGAAACTCTGGGACTAAATTGGACATTTATTGCTAGTTGGGGGACTATTTTAAGCTTTTACTCTTATGACATATTATGGAACACTAGATAGACATTTCAACATATGATGCTAATGACTAATTCAAAATTGCACTAACATAATGGACTGTGGTTACTCTTGTTCATCTAGATGCACAAAAAGAAAAGAATTAAGCGTAAGTGTAAAAACAAAAAATGTAATTAAAATTAAATGAAATGAGGATGATTAACTTTTATATTGAAATATAACAAATTAAGGAACTACACATTGCAATAACACTGTACAAAAATTGATGGATTCATTGTTGTATTATGAAAAAGCATGACTTTAATAAGAAAGCTATATAAATGAGCTGAATTTCTAGCAAATTTAACAACGTTTCTTCTTTCATTCACTTGTTGCTATCACCAAAGAAGGTAACAAAGAGAGAAAACACCACCTGAAGCAATATGCACAAATGCAATGCATTTAAGATCATTTTCTTTTTATGATTAAGCTACATACAACAAATTAATAGTTAATGACATGAGTTCTTGTGAAGCAGGAACATGTGCTTATGCAAAGTTTTGTATATTTTCATATACAAGAAATTTCCAATTCATATCCATTGATTATTTCAAAAAGAAGCTCATTACGAATAATAGAATAGTAATGATCTATCACTTGATGTAGTGAATAGATAGGAACACATTCCTTCTGAAGAACTAAATATAGGTAAACATAATAATAATAGATTAAGGGTGAGAAGGAAAATTGATAGTGTCACACTTCATTAATTTATGAAAGATAAAAAAAATTCCATGAATTAAGTGAGAAGAATAACAATTGGTCATTTTTGTAAATATCTATTCCAGTCAAACCCTATAATTGATGCAAAAATAAATTATATTGTGTGCTTGAAATCCATATATAAATGATTGGCAATCACCATGATAAAGAAAAAAAATCTTATAAAAGCTGATTAAAAAATCTTATATTTGTTTTCAAGATAATCCATCTTGAGATACAATAATCAAAATACAAGATTTATTTTTCCAGGAAGTTTTTGTTAGTATCTGCTAAGATTTATCTCAGGTCAGCATGCCTCAAGGAATATATATCTTGGGCTTAAATTGCAGACCCTCAGATCCATATACTTTTGTGTTTTATTCCGTTCGGTCTAGAAGACCCTTTTTTGACATTCTGAAGCCTTGTTTTGTAGAAATTCGGATTAGAGAATAAGTTTAACACTTTCAATTAGTATACTTGATTTGTTTTTCTTTTATTATATACAATATGGTCATACCTAAGCTTACAACTTGGATGAAGGATGGAACTCAGTTTCATAACTTGTCTTTTATTGTCCTTTTCAGCTCGGACATGGTGATTACTCAGCAGCAAATACGAAAGTACTGCGGATGGTGAATTCTTTAGGCATTGATAATGAAGCAAAGTGCACTATAGAAATCTTGCGTGCTGAACTCCAGAAAGCTAAGGCAAAGTTGCAAGCTATTGAAGAGCTAAGTGGACAATCAGGTATTATGTTGTCTTGTTTATGCTTGCTGCAGTGAATAACAATGAGATGGCATCCTTAAAATATTGTTTCCAAGTTCTCTTATTATCATTGTGCTTCTGATGTCTGCAGGAAGAAAGGAATATGTGTAAATTATTGTAGTAAATCTTACTTGAAGTGTATAGTTGCCTCTAGTAAAGTCAGCAATGCTATAAACCAGAGTAACTAGTGATGTGTGACAAAATGCATTACAAATGAAAAATTAAGTGTGATTATATTAAATATAATACAAGCATATGTTTTTAGAATAATTCTTGATGAATGTCAATGATTTCAGAGTTAAATATTTCAATTTATACTTGAAGCTTATTTGATTGCATTTACTATGAAATGCAAGTGAAAAGTGATTGAAGTGGACCACTGTCTTTCGGATTCATGGCAAAAATGTCAAGTGACATCTTCCCATAGAAAAGTACAATTCTTAGTAGTTTGACTTCAGATTCATATGGGATCAGATTTACACTTTTAGGAGTTATTAAAGATGAAAGTTTGCCTTATGATGGAAGTATACTGCGACTAGCATATGCATACAGGCATAAAGCTGATGCATAAAGAAAAGCTCATTTATTACATTATGTATTATAATATTCATTAACATACAGCATGTATACATAATGCTTAATTTATTAGCTTATTTACGTAATACGATATATAATTCAGTGGATATGCTGTAGGAAAGCGCACAATTATTGGTTTGGATTTTCAATGAAAAATGTGCCAGAAATCTCAAAGGACTTTCTGGTCAGTTTTATGTTGGAAAATTATCCAGGTTCAAGTGACAGATTTTTCAGAAGAAAATCCATCGAAATCCTACTGTCTTATCTTCTCTTGGTCGACCCTCTTCTCTTGGCCCTGCCCCATATAAAAATTCCTCAATTATCTAGGGGTATTCCACACAACGTTGGCCACCAATCACAACAATTGAAAGCCTTGGATATTACAGCTAAAGCTTGAACATTAGCAATTTCACCATAAGCATTTTTTGAGACTTCAATCTTTGGAACTTATGATTGATGGATCTATCATTCATCTACTGTGATTTTGGTCTTGGTTAGTATTCATTATTTCTGACTTAATAAAATTAAAGAAAAAATTAGAGAATCTTGAATGATTGTGATAATCCTATGATATGCTTCATCTAGTTGTCTGTACCTATAAAAATGAACTATTATCATTGTGAGAGCCTACTCTCTTAAGCCTGTATTGAGTGAAATCATTTTTAAGGCAGTGTTCCGCATATAAATCAACAAACAACTTTGAATGGTAACCCACATATTGGTTCCAACCTTATATTGCTTTGGACTAACTTGTAATTTATTTCAGGAAGCTTATTTTGCAGATTAATGATATTAGCTTGCCCAAAAAACTTACTGCTAAAGCCTTCAAATTTTTTAAATACATGCAGAACACATTATCTTGCATTAAGAATCTTATGCGAATTGTCCTTGAATATTATGCCACCCAAGTTAGTGTCTATGGATCAACATGAGGTTATAACCAAAATTGTAGAATGTCGTCAAGGGTACTTAAATTTCAAGCCTCGGTTCAAATTCTGCTATATTCATTTCTCAATATCAAAATCAAAATTTCTCTCTCTATATATGTATGTATATATATGGGCATCAGATCCAAAGCGTTGTCTTCCATAAGAATGCTTGGGATAAAAACAGGATAGTCTCACTCTTAAATATATTTTACTTCATTTTGACAGATTGAGAATGCAAACAAAAAAAAAAAAGTGGAGAAATTTAGGAAGTTGCTTTAGATAGAAATCTCACTCATCTTAGGCACCTAATGATACCTTGGAACTTGCGTGTTTGAAAGGATTGGTTGAACTTGAGTCGGGAGATTAGTCACTGTTCTGCAATGTGAATTGGACTTAGTTTTATTGGTAAAGTTGCCTACTTCAACCTCTTCCTAAGATCCCGTTTTAGCAGGAACTCCATGCACTGGTATGCCTCTTTACTTAGTTCTGTGGTGAGTTTTATTAGTTTTTGCATACTTATGTTATTATTAAAAGAACATTAGCTATTGTGTTACAAAGTGGTAATATTTTCTTCATTTCACAGACTACATTTCCATAGTAGTTTGGAGCCCCTCACAGTAAAATCGGGCGAAATTGGTCAAAATCAACGACCGACATCCAAAAAATGACGTGCGATGCCGCCTAAATGATGTCCAATCGCAAAATGGGCTTCGTCATTGCGTTCAGAACGTTTGAGTAATCTATAAACGACCGTAATTTCGCCTAAAGATTTTCATACCAGAAAATCAGAGCGAACCCTAAGGCGACGTCGGACGCAAATCAAGGAAAAATGAATTTTTATGTTGTTCTATTATCTTTGTAATAATAAATTATTATTATTATTATTGTTAAAAAATAGAAAATGTACATCGTACCCGCTATTTGATGCTGACGCCGACGCCGCCCAAATCCCACGATCTCTGCTCAGTTTGCGCTCTTGCTCACGAGAAATTATTCTGTGTGGAATCCGATCACATAGATGTGTTCGGCCGCGAATAAATTCATTACGCGTGGCGTGTCTACGTGGAAAGTAAGGCCCAACCCGTTTGTCATTTCGGACCTACTGCAGACGAAAAGACCGAAGGCCCGCCCAGTAAATGTAATGAAAAAGGCGAAAATTTTTAACAGTTTCGAAATTCCACATTTCGGCCATTCGCTCCAGTACTCCCGAGCTTCCTGCAAATAAAATCTTCTGAAAAAATCCAGCAATCTCTTTTGCTCATCATGGAGGATTCATCTGCAAAGAGAAAGGTGCGTATATTCTTACATTGACATAAAATGAACTACAGATATCTTTGGTATTCAATGCGTATTTGCTGAAGAAACCAAAAAATAAAATAAAATCATTCCGAGTAACTATAAAAGATTATATTTATCTCACCATTTTCGTTCTTTCTGCGTATTTTCTTTGTATACAACGTGTATAATCTGCGTAAATTTCGCTTATTTGCTGCGTATATGTTGAAGACAAACCCTAACAATTTTTAATAAATACTTTGGATCTTTAAATCATAAAACTAAACCTCCAATAAAGAAAAACGATTAGTGTAAAAACCCTAGATTTCTGCTGATATTTTTCGTATATTTTGCATAGATTGCGTTTACACTGCGTATAGTATGCGTATAATATGCTTATACTATGCGTACACGTTGCATATACTATGCGTATAATATGTGTATGCTCTGCGTATTTTATTGCGTTTTATATGCGTACGTGATGCGTATAAACTTCTTCTCTAAATTAATTTTAGTTTTTTATTTTACGCAGATTTACGTCCGTCCTATATCTTATAGATGCTATGTTTCGACATTTAAAACAATGTGCGATACTTTTTCCGAGATAATTCCTATTGAAATTGAAGAAAAATTGAAGGACCTGAATATTTACCAATTTCTTCATTTTCCTGGATTTGAGCAAAACGCCCCACTAATCTACCAACTGCTGACAATGTGGAGTATTGAAAAGCAAAGCTTTATTATAGAGGGCCATGTTGTACCTTTCACAGCTGATGAAGTGGCCCTCCTTACTGGTCTGCCAAACAGAGGTGAGGAGTTTACCTGGATGATCTTGCCCACTTCAACAATCACTTCAAATGATATTAAGAGTGAAATGTTTGAGTTGACTCGAGAAAGCGCCCCACATACTATGTTGAGAACTTTTATTATGTATTTATGCTCAAATTTATTTTTCCAACAAAGCAACTTTAAAGTTCTTAAGATGTTAAAGACAATAGCAAATAATGTTGATGATTTTTTATCAATTAACTGGGCATGGTCAATTTGGGAATGCCTGGTTGAAGATTTTAATAGTGTATCTTTGAAGATCTCAAAGAACAGGCCAGCGGGTTATGTCAATGGATTTGTGCCATTGTTAATTGTGAGTGCTAAAACAATTCTAATCAAACATTAAATTTTACTAAATGATTTGCTAAAACTTACTGAGAATATCTCAATTTTATGCAGGTTTGGTTCCTGGAGCACACTTCCATTCATCTCCCGAAGTACCCTGACAGAACGCCCCGTTTTCTTCGATGGGGTGATGACATTGTATATAACACTGAGAAGACTGCTAAATTATTTGTTAATTTAAAGAGAAGACAGATATATATTGTGAATAGTTTTATATATTGCTTATTTATTGCGTACGGTTTACGTATATATTGCATACGTGTTGCGTATATATTGCGTGAACCTTGCATATTCATTGCGTATAGATTGCGTATAGTATTGCGTATTTATTACAGATTAATTTTTCACATATTTTTGTTGACATCCAAGGAGTTACCCCTGAAGAATCTAATCTCTTGGGTATAAAGAAATATCCATCAACCCCTCTTTCACTCATTCAAACTAACACTATAACATCATCTCCCCTCACAATCTCCTTAGCAACCCGATCCCAAATCCAACTTGAAAACCCAACCCCAATCATTAGATGATCTTGAAAAGAAAGTAATAAAGATTATGCAGGAGTCCATGGTCAAACTCTTCCAAGAATTTGAAGTTAGGATGAGCAAGAATTTTGAACAAATTATGAGAAGAATTGATCTTATTGATGACAAGCTCAGAGATTGCATTCTTCAAGGAATTCTTAAGCCTTATGAGCAAGCTCCTCTCTCCTCATCATTCATTCCCCATACAATTCCATCCCCCAAGAACATTCGGATATCATCTGAACACACCAAGACCGAAGCCCCAGAAAAAATCAATGATGCTGAGATGACCCAGGCTACTGAAAGGGTTAACAAAAAGAAGAAATTAAAGAGAAAATCAGAAAGGGTTTACAAAAAGCAGAAAAGGGTACACCACATCCAAGAAGAACCTGCCCAAGAAGAAACTACCAAAGAAGTTCCCCCCCAAGAAGAACCTACCAAAGAAGTTCCACAACAAGCACCTGCCAAAGAAGCTCCCCAAGAAGAACCTGCCAAAGAAGCTCCC